CCCAGGCAGGTCTCGAACCCGCGGGCTCAGGCAATCCACTCACCTCGACCTCCCAAGGTGTGGGATTACAGACCGAGCCACTGAGCCCAGCTGAATTTTTTATTTATTGTAGAGATGAAGTCTTGCTAAGTTGCCCAGGCTGGTCTTGAACCTGTGGGCTCAGGCAGTTCACTCGCCTCGGCCTCCCAAAGTGCTGGGATTATAGGCTGAGCCACCAAACCCAGATGAGTTTGTCAATTTCAAGTCATCTTCACAAATAAAAATTTATTTTGTACTGCAATGTAGATAACTCTATACACATTTAGTAAAATGTGTTTCCTGTGATTGTGTCTACCTGTGATTACTTTTGACTTTCAGACCTTCTTAACACTATCGTTACAAGATATGGCAAGTCGTGTACAGTTATCTGGACCTCAAGAGGCAGAAAAATATGTTCTACACATGGTAAGTGTGTTTTCCTTTTTTAAACAATTAATTAGTGGATTTTTGTCCTTGTAAAAGTAACAGATATTCATTACGGAAAATATTAAAAAGGAGAAAGACAAAGGGGACCTCCAAAGTCAATCACTATTGACATTTTGGTCTGTTTCCTTACAGTCTATATGGTTTTCCAGTCATAGTATACTCATATGATACATGCCATTGATGTGTGCTGTTTGTGCTCCTTATATTATGTATTTTTATTGTTAGACTTTTTGTAAACTTCATTTAAAACACTTATGAAATATTTTAGATATACGAAGAGGAATAAAGTAGTGTTACTCTGTGCTGATCCATGACAAGCTTACAGCTTGTGACAGTATGTACATCAAGGGACTGCTGCAGAATCAAGAAAGTCTTGATGAACTATGCAGTATGCGTAGTGAGAGGGGGAGATTCTGTCTGCCAGAGGGCATTAGGCTATGTCTGGAGGCATTTTTGTTCTCACAGCTGAGGGTGCTGCTGGCCTCTGTCGGATACAGGGCAGGAATACAGTACTGCTAAACATCCACAGTGCTCTCAGGACAGCCCCACACAACAAAGAATTAACTGGCCCAAAATATCAGTACTGCCAGACTTGAGAAACCATGCCCTGGAATGAAAGTTTTGTGAGAGCAGAGTTTTTTTTGTAAGTCAACATTGAAAAACTACACTTAGTGTACAGCTAAACACATTTGCATAAAGTGAAGATGTGTATGCCAACATCTAGATGAAGGAACAGAATATGACCAGTACTCAGAAATATCCCTCATGCCTGCTTCCAGTCCTGCGCCTGGCTAGAAGTGTCATCCTGACTTCTAACATCCTATTTTAATTGTGTTTGTTTTGAGCTTTATACAAACAGAAACATACAGTATATACTTTTGGCAGGGGTGTCTAGGTTTTTTTTGCTCAGTATTGTGAGAGTCATACATGATGTTGTGTGTAATTGTGGTTCATTCGTTTTCAGGGGTACAGTGTTCCACTGTATGACTACACCTTTCCATTCTAAGTAGGTGGACATCTGGGTTGTTTCTAGTTCTCATAACTACAACTAGTGCTGCTGTGGTGAACCTTAAGTCCAAATTTCATGTAGATATATTCCATCTGCTTTGTAAAGAAGCAGCTCTCTGTGATCATGTGGCAATCCGCACATGGAGATCTGTCTAATATGTGTTGGGCTGGTTGCTATTTCATCTATGTGTGTTTCATATGTGTTGGACTGTTGTTGTAGCATCTATCCCTTCCAAGGCTACAAAGAATAGACCAGCTTAAGCAGCTCAATTCCACTGTTAACAAATGGATGACTCATTATCACACTGTGGAGCATTTTGTTAAGAATGAAAACACCTGTTTGGGACTTTTATTGGCCTCTCACTTTTTAACTTCATGGATAGGATTTGGCTTTGAGTATCAGTCTAATAAATCCCCAGTCATTGCAAATAAAGAACATAGACCTTGGCTGGGTGTGGGGGCACACATCTGTAGTCCTAGCTATTTGAGAGACTGAGGTGAGAGGATCTCTTGAGCCCAGGAGTTTGAGGCTACAGTGAGCTATGATTGTTACCTGGGCTGGTCTCTAGCCTGGGCAACAGAACAAGACTGTGACTCTCTAAACAAGCAAACAAAAAATTTAGAAACTACCTTGGAATCAGCAGTGGTATGGTAGAGTTTCTTGAAGGATGAGAAGACAGTTTCCACTGGAGTAAAATTTAAATGTGTTAGGTTTTACTTTTTATTTATTTATTTATTTGTTTGTTTTGTTTTGTTTGAGTTGGAGTCTCACTCGGTTGCCCAGACTGGAGTGCAGTGGCCGCTCCCGGCCACATGCAGCCTCGCTGCTGGGCTCCAGCGATCCTTCTGCCTCAGGCTTCTGGGTAGCCGGAATTACAGGCATGCGCTACCACGCCCGGCTGATTTTTTGATTTAT